GGTCAGATCAGAGCGGTCAAGGGTCAAAAGTTTCCAATTTAGCAAGAGGGCGCCATTCATGCCTTATTACAGAATTTGCACGCGTAAATCCCGGAGAACGCTATCTTGTGTTTATAAGATCTTTGATCTTTACACAGTATCAGATTCAGAGAGAGTGCAGCAAATACCTTATTCTTTGTTTCCCTATTTTGTCATTCCTTCATACAGTGAACCATAACCTGATAGTGCTTTGTCCGAGTTTGGTAAGTGGAAGCTGTTCAACTTCAGACAGAAATTACAAACAGGGGTGGCGACAGAATTTGCCCTACGATGGAAGGGGTGGGGGAACGATATCCCGACGAGAGCAAAGTGGGCGTGGTCCGTGGGCGTCGCTCTAAAATGTTTCGAAAGTGGTCCAGGGGGGAAGTGTAATATTATGGTTTGTCAGTGACTTTCAATGAGATAGATAACACAGTACCTTTTGTACACTGCAAAGATTTTATTTTATTCTACTGTACATAGGCCTTTAAACAATTGACTACTAACTCCCGTCTCAGATGTTGGAGTAGAAATCCTTTTAGAGTTGAGCCCATGTTAGCTTAGATAGCTGAATCTAGGTCTTAATCTCTTCTCTAAGTTAGTTCCTGATATTTGGGGTACAGTGTCTATTAGTATTATATTTTTTACTGATTGGATCATAGAGAAATTTTTGCCTATGATTTAGTAACTTGTTTACTAAAAAGCTGCTAATTAAGTTATATTAGAAATTTCAAAACTTAGGCTTAAAACTGACAATCATAGATAGATTCATAGTGTGAGAAAGGGTAAAGCCAATTGACTAGGTTAAGTTATAGAATGACCAATTGTATGATTAAATTATTTGTATACTCAAGTTGGCTATTAAAGTTGTCAAGTAAGACATTTTACAGGTGATTTTATAAGTTAATATTATTGAAACTAATTAATACTATATTTTTTGCCATTTTATGTCCATCGCTGTGCATGATAGTGACCATAGCCGAACAACAGTATAATTGCCTCTATTATACTGCCTTCATAAGAAGATCTAGCAAAACTCGGTTGATTGATTAATAATTTTAGTCTTTCAAGAACATTTTTTTCATAATGGTCAAAGTTACATTTACATTGAAAAGAAAATTGTTTACATTGAAAAGAATAATCTATGTATATAGGGTCTGTGGCTTAATAGATCTTTTTTAGATCTACTGCATCTATTATACTGCCCTCATCGGGCTTTCGAGATTACGAGAACTTGGTAATTAAGGCGTACAACGTGGCCTCCGAAAAATGGCACAGGTAAATAATGGCCGTGAATTACAAATTAATAAATTAATCATTGTTTAAATATAATAATTTAATCAATCAACGTATCATTTGTTTTTTAGTACTGTAATAAAATGATTTTTTTATGCTACTGTCAAATAAATTTAAATTAGTTTAAAAAATAGCAAAATATTACCAGTAAAAATGTTATTTTTTTTAATCAATGAGATCTTTTTTTTTTTTACTGTATTACAAACATCCTTACAAAGTAATTTAAATTAAATTATTTTACTTAAACTTAATTATTATGGCACTTGGCCAACCAACTGTCCCAATAGCTGGCTACGGCATTGATCAGTATTATTATTGAAATACAGTACTGTACCAGGTGGTACCAGACATTATAAATTACAAGAAGAAAAATAAAAAAATTGGGTTTAAATAATAAAACCTTCTGGCAATACTAAGCTCACTGAAAAAAAGAGCACGCCGCTCGCGATTCGGTCTTTTTTCACGATCTCCATTGGCGTTACAAATCTGTGAGTTGGTCCCAAAGAATGACAATATATTTTTACATTTTGGTAGAGGAGTTGTTGTTTTTGTAGATTATCTTACAATAAAATAGTATTTTGCACATTTTTATGAGTACATCTTAAGCAAAATATATCTAATAATGGTTGAATTTAACATATAATTCCTAGGCCTAGGCAGGAACATGTGACAAAAATTGTAGGTGGTTTTCCGTGCGTGTGCCAACGTGGTGGTGTGGGAGAGAGAGAGAGGTCGGTCCGGCTGGAACGTGCTTGGAATACTTTATAAAAACACTTCATTTTTCATTGTATGGCATGTGTGCCTTATTTATTTTAAAATTTTCAACATGATATTTTAAGCCAAATAATTTTAATTGTTCCTACGCCTAGGAGGGCTAAACTAATTCGGCCTAGGCTAGGCCCCTAGGCTATTCCTCCTAGTTGTTGCATGTCTGGGATTTGCAAATAGTTTTTTGGTGAGTCTTTGGTTACATCGTCCCTACCTAGACAACTCATACTTGTCAGATTAAATAATAAATAACAATTTATCATCCTGTCCCATTTCAAATTCCACAGCTGTAATATCTTGGCTAAGCAATTTGCACTCAAGACAAATTATTAGGTGTTATGGAAAGTTTGTATTTACTATGGCAGGGTTGTGGTGGCTGTAGAAAACTAAGCGTTGATGGTAGGGTGGGTAGGTGATAACATTTATATACTGTACTCCAAATAATAAGAGTGAATTTTGAGGATGGAAAAGTGGGTTTTATATATCTTCGGTGTGTTAAACAAAAGAGACATAAGGCCCAATAAAAAAAATTATTAGCTTATCACCCTCACGCGCATGCATTTTATGGTACTGAAAAAAAAAAATTTACCCTCGCGCACATGCATTTTATGGTACTGAAAAAAAAAAAATTGGAAATTTTTTTTTTTTTAATTTTATTAATTTTTTTAAAAAATTTATTTTATTAAATAGTTAGTAGATATTGTTTGCATTATCTAAATCATGTTTAACTTTGAATATCAATGCACCAGTAAACAAACCAAGGATAATATTTGGCTTTAGCAAAGTAAAAAAAAAAAAAAAAGCCTCCCCCCCCCCCCCCCCCACCCCTTTTTCC